TGCATATATTGAAAATCGAAACTGCCAGTTATAATGCTGCTACACAAGCTAACAAGTCAAGGACAATAATCGAATCAGATACGTTGGGCCTTAAAGTTGAGAAGTTAGTCTCTCTGAACACCTGCCGTCATAATCTTAAGCATTGGTAAGCATGGATAATCGGAAAATTTCATGATTGAGGAGGTGAGCCCCAGGACCATTCTAGGCCGATGGAACCTTAACAGACGACATTCGGTTGCATAGATTGAACCTTGCAAGGTTTGATTTTCAAGCAGTGGACTTCATCTGTAGCTCGCCTAATCTTTTTGAGGACAGTGTGGTTATCACGTTCTTCCGTTCCATAATTAGAATCGGATTAGATGATAATGAAGCAAAATGAAACAAAACAGATTAAGCTGACCAAACAACAGCAGTAGGACAGTTACGTCTTTCCTCGTAACTGAATTTACTTAGGGTGGACTCTGTAGAATTTTGAGGTGGAGGCTTTTCAGTATTCAACTCTATCAGGACTGCCAGAAGGGAAAAGTCGCTTAACTTCTAATGTCTGTCCAGCAAGCGAATGATATGTCTAACGGCATTTTCCGGCATTGAAACCTAGTCTACTGGAAAGAGTTAGTAGAACAGAGCATTCAGATCATTCTGTAGAATAGAGAGGTTGTGAGAAAAGTCTCCAGTCCACGAAATTTAAACAGTGTCAGTGATCAAAGACAGTGCAGGTTAAACAGACGATGAACTATAATAAATTAGGTTGTAAAACACCAGGCAATAACCAAAAAACACATGGTTGCTAGGCAATATATAACGATGACAGTCAGATTGTGACTCAAGTCACTTGGGAGGAGGAATCCTTGCACATGCCATACATTTTATCATTCCCTATACAGGAACCTACTCAATTGATCACAGACTCTACAGAAGTCAGCACATTATTGCAACACAGCCTGAGCAACACACCAGTTCGTTCTACTAACCAATGTTACCCTAACCACATCTTCCACTTCCAAATCGCTCATGCAGAACACGTAATCTTCATAATTCAAACGATCAATCTTGAAGCCCTTCGATTATGGCCGCTTATGAAAATCCCTTAATAACTGTTTAATCTAGAAGAGATAAATTTGTGAAAAATCTGAACATCGGCTGGATTCGAACCAGCGACGAAAATACCATGCCCAATCGCTGCAAGCTCTCTATCAGCTGAGCTACGAAGCCACGCCAGAAGCTCAGAAATTTCACATTTTGTCCTAGTAACCCACCTATCCAACTATGTCACATGGAATCCACTAAATGATCGAGCCGATTGACTGCCCAAGCAGGATTTCTCGATCAGTTCACGTTGGAATCCACCAACGCCACCGATGAGCAAATGGATTTCTTCTAAATTATCAAATCTGCCAAATTACTGATCAGTAGTTCAAATCTGTAATCGTTATTCATTCTCGTTGGTTGTAATTTATCCAAAAAAGGTTATACTTTATTATAAAACAGTAACACATTTTTGAACCAACGCTGTTTCCAGAAAGCCCTGGTGAGTGAAATCTGATTCCACTCAGCCACCTAAGCAAAGTGAAATCAAAATGCCAGCTCTCATCATCCGGCTCTCGAAGAAAGTTTGCCAGTTCAGATAACGTCACACAACCAACGATTTTGCACACCTATTCAAAGTGCCAACAATGTCAATCTAGGCAGTCACTCGTTCAACTCAACCCTAGACAAGCAACGGAAATGTTTTATTCATCAGAAGTGAGAAATGGTTCTAGTAACCTGAACATGTTTCTGTCTTCGTCTAGACATCAGGTTGCCATACCCACTCCGACTGACTCACGCTTAATGTTGTTGGAGGAGAACCCCCGAGTTTACTGCCCATACTTAATAGCTATACGACCATGAGAACATGACGGGAGTTCAGCCTTAGTTTGCAGACCAAAGTCGCCGGCAATTGTGTATCAAATGGGCTGAATGTGTGGGCAATACGTCAATGCTCTGACACTTACTTCAGAAATCTACAGTCACATGACAAACAGACGAGGTGATGAAAATGCACGGTCTGTGGTGGCTGGTTAATGCATTCCGGATGCCGAAGAAGCGTTTTCCGCACTCGTATTGTTTAATACGGCTTCTACTGGTTAGAAGAAACCGCAAGATGATCACCGGTGACGCGGTCAGTAACTACGAAAGCTTTGACCAACCGATCGTGCAAGATTCAAAGGTGATTCAAAGGTCCGCACTGCTGGTTACAAACGCTCTCGGTTCGGTGACTGAAGGACTGTTAGCCCTACTTCTTCAAAAACTCTTACTGTTCTTGCTTACCCTTCTTCTTCTTCTTCTTCT